AATGTAAAACGCAAGAAATAAGAGTTTAAATTGAATTAACAATTAACTTTCTGGCAATAAATTTAATTATACAATTTTCAGTCCTCATGAGGTATTGAGCTGTCAAAAATGTTGAATATATTAATGGCCATCTATACCCTGCCATCTGTTGCCTTAAGGTACTACTATGTACCTTTTAGAGGTAAATAAGTAACGAAGATGTCCCTTTAAAGGTGGGGTAAGTGATTTCTGGTAGCCAATGTTGACATTTGAAATCACCAAAACAAACATGCCCCAACCCCAAAAGGGTCTCGCCCCTATTTTGATAGCTCCGCCCCACACATACGTATGCAACCCAGGCAACGATTAGTTCTGTGAAACAAAGCAAAACCAATGTTATACCAGACGCGAGTGGCACGGCGCGACAAAATACTATGGAACTCATTATAATCAGTGATGCTGTCTACACCATAGATATATATATACATATCTATGGTCTACACTGGATGCGGCGTGGCACGACACGACAAATCCCCGACAGAAAACTGCTGCTGCGTTCTATTCATGACGTATTCACACAAATTTCAAATGATTTTCAACGGTTGCTTTGTCGCGTCCAGTGTACTACAGACTTCAGCTGTTGCGGTGTAGACAAGGTGTTACTCACCTATCGAGAAGAAACAAAGCAACCTCTGTGATCGATCGCAGGCCTTCCGCTCCTTGAGTTCTCTCCAGCACTGGAAAGCTGATCTGATATTTACACGGGTCCTACTTCTTGCCTTAAGCCTTCTTTTGTTCCGCAGACGTTTTTCTCTTTTGTTTTTTTATCAGCCATCTCTATCTTTCTGTCGCTCGGCTGCTAATGTCTGTCCTGTGCACTGAACTCTTTCTCCTCCACATCATGAGTAGACACGCCCCTTACTGCTGATTGGCTACAAGTTTGTTTTGCTAGTCGGCCCGAATCAGTTTTAACTCCTGTCCATGCTCCATATGACTAGTAAGCCAGTTCTCAAATAACTGCTATGAGGGCTTTTGTTCTACTCGCTTAAAGGGGTCCTATTATGCTCTTTTACAAAGTCTTGATTTTGTTTTGGGGGTGTACTAGAACATGCTCTCATGGCTTGATGGTTGAAAAACGCATTATTTTTCACATAATTTACATTATTACAATACCTTTCTCCCCAGCCTGGCACAAACGGCTCAATTAGTTCCGGCTTTGATGAAGGTCCGCCTTCCGAAAAACAAAATGTGTTGTGACTGGTTCGCTGTCCCAGTGCGTTGTGATTGGCGAACAGCTTAGACGGTGTTTCAGTACTGCCACGCCCCCTTGCTCCGTCTTTCAACAAAAGCTTTTGGGAATCCGGCACTTCTCACTCGTGATGTGGAAGCTGTCCTCAGTAAAATGCACAGCACACAATAGCAAATTGGGGTTATAATGCTCAGGAACAGAGTTAAAAAGTAAATTGCAGCCACTGTTTCCTGACATCATCCGCTTTCGGAAGCCCAAACAAAGACGTTTGGGCATGGAGGTGGAGGTTTGGGCGTCGCACACCGGACGAGAAGCGCAGCGTTGCGCCATGTCTTTAAAATTCAAATACATTTTCTATGAGTGTAGGCACACCAGCAGCGTCTGTCCGCGGCGCCCAGCTACGTCGTGTTATACTTGTAAGAATTGTTCTAGACCAGCGGTTCTCAATTCCAGTCCTCGCATACCCCTGCTTTGCATGTTTTGCACGTCTCTCTTTTGTAAACACACCTGATTCAGATCATCTCATTAGAAGTGAGCTCCGTGCATGAACTGTGTTCCAATTGACATGGTCTCTACACAGTGTCCATTGCTCCCTACTCCCTGAGCAGGGGAAATCCGTTGAAGTTTACTTCACTTTGGAATATTCATTTACAGATTTGCGCTGTGCCGCTACCTGCAGCATCTTCACACACAAACGAAACTTACTAGAGAAGCGTGAAGTGGGACATAATATACCTCTGTAAATAAATACAATTTAAATTCACGTCTCGCACACTTAAATGCCCTTTGTATGGAACATATACGCTCCCTTCAAACTGGAATCATGGAGGAATATCCGGCAATGTCCACTTCGCAGGGCACTTACAGTCAAATATAACAAACATTTGAAGCAATAAGAGAAACACACAAAATGTACAGAGCGGGGGTACGCGAGGACTGGAAATGAGAACCGCTGTTCTAGACATGCCAAAAATTTGAGGCTACAGCACAGCAGCTCTTCTTCTTCATCGTCTCGTCTGATGCGCTCACTCAACCAAGCGTTCTAACCACGACCTCGCCCCTCCCCACCCCCCAACCATTCGAATTTCTGTAGGCGGGAATTCTTTGTAATGATATTCAAATGGGCCGCTTTGTGATATCACAAAGCCCGGAAACCAAACGCTGTAGTCCAAACGAGCCGTTTGCTGTAGTTCTTGAAAATGGATTTTTAAAAAACTAAATATCTCCCTTTGGAGTGGACTTTGAGATTTGTAACTTTTTTATGCCCAAACATACACACTTACTAAAATTAAAAAAGTGAAAAAGCATTATAGGACCCCTTTAAGGGTACTGCTGCAGTGACAAGATGTTGTACCCCTAAAGGTACAGTTTTTGCACCGCTTTTGTCTGAGAGTGTAGGGAGTTTAGATGACCACAGTGAGTTCAGGTGTTTCAGTAATGTGTGATATCCCCTCTGATCCATTAACCTGCCCATATAAAGGCTGTGAGTGGCTTTAGGGGGCAGTTAAAGTAAGCACTGGCTGGTTCACTACTTTGGCTCCTGTTGCTCTGCAGTAACTTTAAACCCGCTAATGAGCATCGCTTTTCTGTCTCCGCCGGCCTGGAGTCGCCTCACTATGATACCTGCTGTCCTGAGAGACATCAAAGCGTTACAGTGCCCTGTGGGCAGGATCCAGTAGCTTCTGTGGAGTATAAGGAGGGACTTTTGCATGTAAAATTTGTCGATATTACTAAGTAACATCAGCTCTAAGCCACATTTAAGCTACCACATGGAGAAAAAGGGATGTTTTAAATGTGCAATTATAGTCAAGCTACAGCAGGTTTTTGCCTTTATCTATCTGTCTGAGTACACAGTACAATGTACTGTGTGTCACCTCATTCTTTCAAAGGATGTCGATCCCCATTACGGTGTACTTCAATTCATTTAAATTCACGATTATTTGTATAGCGCTTTTCACGATACAAATCGTTGCAGAGCAGCTTCACAGAAAATGAACGTTTCTACATTACATTTAGGAGTAGCTTATCAATGGTGACTATGTCAAGGTGATGTCCATATGGCAGAAATGTACAGTAAAAATCATGCAGTTAGATAATGACATGTATTCAAACAAATGGTGAACACTATTAACAGCAATGATTAATAATTGCGATCAAACTTATAGGAAAATTTGGTAGTTTTGTATGATGGTTCAGGGTTGGCGTCATCTGAGGTCCTCGGAGGGGTACTTCTTAACTAGCAAGACTTTCTAGGTCAACCGGCCTATCCAGAAAGATTTTGCTGGTTGACCTGCTTCACAAGTAAAGTTTTGCAATTTATGATGGTTCACCGGCCAGCCCATGTTGGTTTATACTGGTCTTTTCAGCAGAGATGTCCTTAAACTCATTTTGTTTTAATATATAGAGAGACAGGCGGTGAGAATGAGAGAATCCTTATAGATCTAAGAGACCCCTCCGATCGATCAGATCCTTCAGAAAGTGTGCATTTGGTCTAATCATCTTTGAAAAAGCTGTAAAAAAGACTAATCCCTCATTCACAATAGAGGCTACGCATAAGAGTGTGTTTGCTTTAGTGCACCCAGGTGAAGGACAGGCTCTTATGGTCTAATCTGGTGTACTGAACTGAAGGGTTAGGCACTTTTACAGAGGTTTCCCACAGACTGAGAGCTATGAAGTATAAAATCCAGCGCTCTCCACCGAACAGCAGAACTCCTAAAGAGCTTTCCTCTCCTGTTGTAATCAGACCCCTGCTGATGTCCTTCCCTAACAGAGGACTAACATGAAAAACCTGCCATCCTTCTTTTACAAGGCCGCATAATGTTTTATCGATTCTGCAGTGGAGCCTGGACAACGAATGCTACCGAGGGCGATGTGATAACGAGGGCTCCCACTATACACAGTGCTTTCCTCCCCTTTGAAGCGTCCAGACATGTAGAGCTGTTCTCTAGCCACCCTACATGCCCCCAATCTCTCACCTGCCCCTCCCACACCATAGGCTTTTGTGTTAAAAGTATAAAGAAAAGCTGGTTTGCTTTACTCTTCCGGTCATTAACTGAGTCTGTCCTCTTCACCTGCAGCATTACAGCCTCTGCATGAAACCCCCTACATGGGGTCTTGAGTGTGAAATTTGTCACTTTCCTGAAAATATCACGCATTGATTACGATCCTGCATGATATTTTAAGACACACTTGCCCATAAGGCCCTTTTTTTAAAAAAAAGCACACAGATGCATTACATGACTAAATATTGTCTGATACACAGTGATGAATTAAATAATTTATTAATATATAATAATTTTTTGTCCGTCAATGAATTAAATGTATTTTTTAATGGGTATGCTGATTAAATAGATTACATAAATGAAATTGAAGCAAATAAAACACCCAAAATGAAGACAATTCAAAGACACTGTGGATAATCTAAAGCACTGAATAGACAGTAAAAAAGTATATTGATTGTTTTGCTGTTTTCGTGTCTTAGTACATAAGCTTATCTGTGGCCTACTGTCCACAGGATTTTGCGGTTTACGTCAAATGTCATGTTCAACTGTTGAATTTGTGCTTTGTGCTTTATTCAGCAGCTATCCCTGTTTTTTAACATCTGATTGATTTGATGTGATCCTTGTGTCTTTTGAGAGACTTTATTTATTAAGTATTATCATTCCATATGTCATTCCCCAAAGCATTTCTTAAAAAAACTTTTACAGTCAGTACCTTTTCTCTGTTTTCTGTTTGTTTGAGCCTGTTATTTCTTTCCTCAGACTCCGAAGGGATGTGGTCGTTCAGTCAGAATCTAACAGCCATTCTAGTGAAGCAGGAGCCCAGCCTGATGTCAGAGAACTGCCCTGATACAGCGCCCCCTCTGGCCAACACAAGCACTTGCTCACACCCCCTCACTCTTGCCGCTCCGCCACTGAGGAACCACACAGGGGAGAAGGTACATCTGGTCATCCTGCAACTAATCTTAAAAACTGACGTTAGAGTAAAATGCTTGTTGTATTAGTCAGGTAGATGTTACTCTAGAGTGGATATCAACAGATGTAAGTGAGCTAATGATGGTGAACCTTACACACACTGCACACCAGACGGACCATTGTGTTAGTATGACAATGAAAAGCATTCTCACACGTGCTTCATGTGCTCTTTTGCTCAGCTGGCAGCTTGCTCGACTTCTCTGCCCAGTGAACATGTTCGCAGTACGAGTGTGTGTGTGTGTGTGTGTGTGAGGAGTTGAACTCACTGAAGCATGGGAATCAGCTCCAGCAGCATCAGTGTTGAGTTGAGAGTAGATTAGTTCTTTGTGGCTGCTGAGGCCTCTCAGATCTGGCACCGGACTCTCTTTGAGCATCAGAGCCATGGAACTGCTCTCTTCTCCTTGACTTGACACTAACTCAGGCCAGACTTTCCAATGGCTCCCATAAACCCTGCCCTCTCCAGGGAGCTGGATTGTGCTGTGTGAAGATACCGGTCATCAAAATAAGCAAACAAACAGAACAAGGGACTGAACATTTTTCGCTTGAAATTTAAAAAGCGAGAAGTGCTGTCAAGAATAACTTGGCTAGATGAAATAATATTCAGGATTGATGGGGTTTATGTAAGCACATGTCCTTTATTTAAGAAGGGCAGCAAGACACGCACATGGCGTAAAGCTGTTCTGACATCCCACTGGGTTCTGCTGTATTGTCGGTGCAGCTGTACTGGAGAACGTCCTCATGTGACCGTGTGCCACAGGAAGAGCAGCTCTCACCAGATAAACACAAACCATATATAACATGGCATTAAGAAATGGAGCACCATAATAACCATAATTCATGATCTGTATATATTACATAATCCTCAGGCAGTGCTTTGGATCCTTTTTGAGGCCACCTTGGAAGTTGAAGAAGTCCAAGTTATTGGTCCAACTAAAACAGAAAATGACCTGATTTTGCTGTAGTTTAATTTTAATGAAGCGTGACTAGAAGAGAAGGAAGGTACATTGTATTAGCTATTTGAAATATGTTTTCATAGACACTTTTGAAAGATTCTGTATTTACAGTTTATTTGTATCTGTATCTGAGGCTTGGCAGGGTGTATAGTGGTAGAGATTTTTCAGTGATTCTCTGCATGTTAAATCATTACACAAGTATGTTGCGACAGGTGACTAAGCTATGCAGTGCACATACAGCCTGGTACTGGAGGTACTACATTGGACTATTTAAAAAAAAGGTCTATATAGTATTAATGCGTGTAGTATGAATGAAACCCAGACATACTACATCCCCAAATTGTCATTGTCATGTGACTTACAGCTTAGTCGCGGCGCTTCACTGCCATTTACAACTTATCTCCTGTGACATCTTGATATTTGTACTTTCGAATCTCTGCAGAAGCAGTTGACCATCTGGGTACTTTTTGCCTGCTTTTTTATGAAAACTATGAATTTGTACGTACTACTCTTTCACATACTCTTCTTAGCCTATCAACTTAATGAATCATTGGCAGAACCGAATCTTCTTTGAAGAAGATCTTTGAAGATCTTCTTCAAAGATTTTTATTTAAAACAGTGATTCATTATGGAACTTATGAAGTCCTTGAATCATTGACTCAACTGATTCAATAAAGGTTAAGTTTGCTGATTTTTAACCAGCTTTGTTTTGTTACTATGATGGTAGTATATGTAAATGAATAGTGTGTACTATTTCTCAGTGTTACCTGCACCCAGATATCCCCATTTGTTTGTCACCAAAAGTTGCATTTTGAATAATCTGGCAGACTTTTGCTGACAAATAAACAGTGATATCTGGGTGCAGGTAACACAGAAAAATAGGACATGGCTAATGATGCTGTTGTGTTTAAAATCTACGTTTTTGTTCTACTTCGCACTGTCATACTAAATATCAATAGCATATCAACAGCACTCTTGCTCATTTGATTCAGTGTAGGTGGTGTTCAGTTTCTAAATACAGTACACATAAGGATGCTTTCATAATATAGGAACCCTGCCTGTGGCAGTAAATGCAGCATTGCAAGTTATAATATAGCCTGACAACTTTCCAGCTAATAGCACACCTCTGAAATTTTTACAGCACAGTATTTTAGTCTTTTTGTACAAAGGCCTTTACTAGTTCAAGTTGGTGGGGAATGCCGTCCACTGACCCATAAAATAATAAGAGGGAGGCATGAAGAAAAGTGAAGGGTACAACAGCCCCTCTGATCTAAGGTTCATGTCACCTCACTTGTGCATGATGGTTGGTGGCTGGCCAGACTGTGTGTGGTTAGCAGGCGGGTAGCCTTTGCTCTGTCAGTGTAAACAGTTTGAGTCTGCCTTCAGCTGTGTTTACGGTCTCAGACATCCAGCATGAAGCACATTTAGTCCAGTACCCTAACAGTTGAGTACCATCAAAAATCATTAAATACTACAGACCACTGCAGCCTGATATCATCAGAGGCTCGCAGATAAAGCTGAATGATGTCTCTATGCCACATATTGCTGTAACGTGCATTGAGAAAACAGTGAATAAGCATCTGCTGTATGTTGTAATGAATGAGAATTTCATTTCACTTCCTTAATGTGCCATATTTTTGAGTGATACAGGATATTTAACGAATAAAAAAAAAATTAGGGTGAGAACATGAAAGTCATTTTAGTGGCAAGCAAACTTTGATTAAATATTAAAATATATAACACACAAATGCACATATTAATTGTGTGAGACCAGGAATTTGATGTCATGTTGGCATTAATGATTGTTTTGCTGTTTGTTTTTGTTGTTAGAGTTCCAAAGACCTGAGCTCAAACTCTGTTCCTGCCATCAAAGCAGAGCCCAGAGAGGTGAACCAGTTCCTCAGTGTGCCCTCAGGTGGGTGTGAAATCTCTCTTCAGCCCTGCACTGAAACAGCATGGTCTTTATGATAAAGCAATTTGACCAAGTGAGTCTTGCTGGTTTAGCTAGTTAAGATCCCTGTTAGTGACTGTAGCATTCCAGCAACCTGTGCTGGGGCCCAGCATTGAAAACACAGCAATTGTACTTTTATACCATGACTGTACTTTAAATACAAGGCTAAAAAAAGCATGCACAGTAGCCCTCTACTTTAGATGCACAACAACAAACTAATGTACTCAACATATAGCACTTAGTTGCCACATATGACCAGTGCAGTTCTTCCACACTAGTTTAAAGATGGCAAAACTAAGCAAATTCTCTTTTATTCTGCTTCCTTGCTCTACGGTAAGTTTAGGGTTATAAATACTCTAATTGTGTGTTCCTTTTCCAGAGGAAATGAGGCTTAGTGTGAGTGTTTCTTTATTTAACTTTTGCATGTGTTTGACAGTCTCTCAGATCTCAACTTTAGCTCTTTCTGAATGGCCCATTGATGAAAACCAAGTCTGATGCAACTTGAGTATTGCATTTTAGTCTGTTGTATAGAGTGAATTGTTTGCATATTGTGGTCAGTTTTTATTTATTTACTTATGCTCATTATGGACACATTTTATTTGATAAAAAATGCAGCAAAATGACAATATTTTGAAATATTGAAGATTAGAAATTACAATTTAAAATGTTTTCTGATTTTAAAATGAAGGTTTTTTTTTTTTTTTTTGCTATAATGGAAAAGCTGAATTTTCAGCAGTCATTACTCCAGTCTTCAGTGTCACATGATCCTTCAGAAATCATTCTAATATGCTGATTTGGTGCTTAAGAAATATTTCTTATGTTAAAAACAGTTGTGCTGCTTCGTGCTCAATATGTTTGTGGAAACAGTGACACGTTTTCAGAATTCTTTGATGAATGGGCAGTGCAAAAGAAAGTTTTATTCTTGCTGTATATTTATATAGGCCAAATTTTTGAACGGTAAAGTAACTGGATGGTCATGATATTAATAAGGTAGATCTACATGTATGTACTACAAACATACACTTTGCTGTTATTTAATACAGTCATTAATGTTTAATGTTGGTTCTAGACCATTTTTAGGATCTGAGCTCGTAATACTAAGATTACAGGTTTAAATTAAGTCCTGCCCTACCACAATTGTGCTGCTGAGAAAAGGCACTTAACCCTAGGTTTCACCAGTGTGACTGTCCCCTCAGTATACCACACATCATTTTGGATGAAAATCTGCTAATGGCAAGCAACCTATAGCACCTGCAAGTGTTGTGCGTGCGCTGTCTGTCTGGCAGGATGATGTCCTTTCATTATGCTCATCCAAAAACAACAGCAGTGCTGTGTATGTAATGGGACATTGCCAGACCAAACACATGATCAATCCAACACTCACCACACTTAGAAGCATTGTGCATGCATGTGCTGTGTGCGAAATGCCTGAAAGCTCCAAAAGGATCAGGCTTTATTGGTTTTTCATGATGACAGGTGAATAGACTGATTTTCAGTTTCACACCTTGGCCTGGCATTGCTCAAAAGCCCATTTTAATTTGCCGTGTTTGTGTAGCATGAGTACGGAATCAAACCTGATCATTAAGATGTGAATGTCAAGGAGTGAACGAGTCACAGGTGTCACGATTATATCTTTGTTCCCAACAGATGAGCATCTGCGGTTGCCGCCCACTCCTCCCAGCAGCCATGGCAGCGACAGCGACGGATCCCAGAGCCCACATTCACTGCCACCATTAAGCCCTGGCCACCTGCAGAGCCCACATTCACTGCCTCCGTCCAGCCCTGCCCGGCTACAGGCCCGAACCTCCACAGCCATCTCCTCGTCCCCTCTCCTCACTGCCCCGCATGTGAGTCAAACGCAATTTCAGCATGTAACACAGCACGCTCATTTTATATAATCCAAATGGAAATTCATATATACACATATACAGAGTGAAAAACGCTGACTTGTGTTGTAATGCAGAAGCTGCAAGGAACATCAGGCCCTTTGATGCTGACAGAGGAAGAGAAGAGGACTTTGATTGCTGAGGGATATCCTGTCCCCAACAAACTACCGCTCACCAAAACTGAGGAGAAAGCCCTCAAACGGGTGCGCAGGAAAATCAAAAATAAGGTATATGATCACATACTATTAATATTGAATCAATTCCGTTAGAATCCTCCTATTATATGATATTGGTGCATATATATATATATATATATATACACACATACATAGACATAATACTTCAATGCTGACGTAGATGCGTTTTTTTTTGTCTTAGATCTCTGCACAGGAAAGCCGCAGGAAGAAGAAGGAATACGTGGAGTGTTTGGAGAAAAAGTAATTGTCTCTCCTACTCTACTCCTTTGTTCTCTACCTCTTCCCTCTCGCTTTCTGACTGCTTTTCTTTTCTCTCCTGCTCTTATTTTCTCTTCCCCCCTCTTGCATTGTTTGTCTAGCATCCACTCTCCTCTATATTTTCTTGGTGCCTTCATCATCCTTTCTCTTCGTTGACCTCCTCTCCTTTAATCCTCTCTTCTCTCTCACCCCTGCACACCCTCTCCCTGCAAAATACTCTATATCCTGCATGCTATTTTATGGCTTTTGTTGTGTGAATGCGGCCAATGGCTACAGTCCATGCACTCATTGGGGTGTGTGTGCGTTTGCATGAGTAATTTTCCCTGTTGAGCTGCTGTTGGGCTCTCAGGGTTTGGATAATGTGCTGGAGAGACTGGACTCACACTGGACACACACATACACTGCTTTTTCCACCATGCTGTAGTCAGTCAAGCCGACAGGGTTATGTATGGAAACGGTTTATTTATGTGTTTCAGTCTGTCATTGTGACTGTGTGCAATAACACGCTCTCTCTCTCTCCTCCTCAGAGTTGAGAACTATACTTCAGAGAACAATGAACTGTGGAAAAAAGTAGAGACGCTCGAGAATGCCAACAGGTGAGAGAACATGTGTGCTTGTGTTTAATTACAGTGAATACTTTATAGGTGGATTTTAATAAATGTAATTGTAACCGTATTTGCGGTACGTGTATGCAGCAGCCTCTTCGCAGGTGTTGCTAAGTCGGTCCAGATGCACGCAGGTCTTAACCTCCCCTTCTGATCGTATAGAGCAGTACCTTTTCATTCTCTCCTGGGTGGCCTAGTTAGAACATAGGCGCTGTCGACAGGGTGCTGTCTGTTCCTACTGTTTAGAGAGACAGAAAGAGAGAGCACCATGGGGGATAGGGTGTTATCAAAGTCAGCTCTTTTTTTGTGGATTAACTGTAAAACCTTATTGAAGAGAGCAGCACTTAAAGGGGTAGTTCACCCAAAATGAAAATTCTGTCTTTTAATTCTTATCATTTAATTATCATGTCGTTACAAACCTGTATGAGTTTCTTTCTTCTGTGGAACATAAAAGTTTTTTTGAAGAATGGTTCAGTGTTTTTGGAGTATGCTGACTTTCATTTTATGAACAAATACACATTCTTAAAATATATTCTTCTGTGTTCTGTACATGAAAGTATGCTGTATAGTATAGGTTTGGAAATGTTTAGAATTAATTTTTTGAGGGTAATTTATTGAAAACATGCAAAAAAAAGTTAAAGGGTTAATAAAAGTTTGGGGTCAGTCATTTTTTTTTGTGAATTTAAGAAATAATTAAGAAATTAGGATGCATTGCTTTGATCAAAAGGACAGTAAAGAGATGTGTATAATGTTACAAAATATTTGTATTACAAATAACTGCTGTTCTTTTAAACTTTCTAATTATAAAGAATACAGAAAACCATGTATTGTGGTTTCCACAAAAAATATTAAGCAGCACAACTGTTTTCAACATTGAAACAATAATAATAAATGTTTCTTGAGCACCAAATCAGCATATTAGAATGATTCCTGAAGGATCTAGAGATGCTGAAATTTGCTGCTGAAAATTCAGCTTTGCCATTATTTGAATAAATTACATTTGATAATATATTCAAATTGAAAACAGTTAGCTTAAACTAAAATATTTCACAATATTACTGTGTTACTGTATTTATGATCAAAGGAATGCAGCCTTGGTGAGCATAAGAAACGTCTTTCAGAAACAAAATCTTACTGACCCACAGCTTTTGTGCTGTTGATATTTCACTGTTGTTTCAGATATTGAAGCTTTATTGTAGCTCGCTACTGTCATCAGTGTTCTTAGTATGTAGGTAAGAGTGACTTGAGTATGTGTGTGTAAGTGTATAGTAGTGCTTTTTATAGAGGATTGGCTCAGGTCCATTATTAACGACACACTTGAAGTAGCACGCAGCACGGTGCCTGCCTGTGCCTCATTACAGGATAAAGAGACCGTGTGTGTTGGCACTCTGCTGATTCTTATTAGGATAGATCCGTCTCTCTTGAGTTATCTAAGAGAATTCAAAGAGGCGGCGATCAAATTGAGATTATTATTGCTAGGTGGGGCGGTCTGAGCCCCTCTCAATGTTGAAAACATATTGTCTAGAGCACTCATTATGAGTGATTCTGTATGTGTATGTTTAGGTGAAAACTAATATACAGGTTTGTTTCGGGGTGATCTAGCCAAGTGGGAAAGTTAACTCCAGGGTTCCTGAGGGACTGTCTCTGTTATAATGTACTGTATGTTGCTTTGGATAAAAGAGTCTGCCAATTGATGAAATAGTAAAGTAGTATTTTAGTTTTGTTTTCCAACATGTTGCAATGGCTCTCTCTGGTGGTGGTGGTGGAGCTCTTCATTATTGCATGTGATGTTGCTTCTTAGTTACTCCACTAGAGGGAGCTCAATGTCCTTTTGTATTATAACTGAATCATTGCTGAGAAAGTCTGCTGCTGAGATTACATGCACGGACACAGGCACACAGGTTACTGCTTATATACTGTATACAGTGGGGAATATGTGTTTAAATATATTTGTACATACATGTATATCATAGCTATATGTCATTATCTCATTACACTGCATGTTTAATTAAGTTCAGTTATCATCTCTGAAATAGTTATAAATTTTTAATGTAATTTTGTGTAACATTATATCATATAATCAGTCAAGAAAGAGAAAAGTATGGGGCTGAATTGAATTCCAGTTCATTCATGACACTGAAAATGGAGGGCCAGGTTGAATGTGTTTTCTCACGCCATTTGCTCTACTGTACTTGTGTAATGCACAGTTTTGAACTAGGTCATCCAAGTATCGAAGTATTCCATACATGCATACATACTGCAAAAATAGTATGCGTAGCATGCCATTATATCATACTCGCAGATCCTGTGGCTATAAGTGTTGCAGTTGTGTGTGAGAGGAAGCGTATGTTTGACTGGCTGCTGAAGAAGGAAGTAATTGAAGGGGAAATAAATTAACACCCATTATGGAGTGCATTTGTGTGAGTAGTGTGAAGGGGAGTTCAGTTTATGTAACACTGTGACGAGTAAGAACTGTATTATCCTCACATGCTCTCTGAGCTTGAGAATAAGAAGATCCTGCTGTTACAAAACAGCACTGAGAAGAACACGCATAGCCTGTAGACAAATATGCTGCGATCTAAAGAATTTACTAATCATTCTTCTTTTTTGATGTGTTTTCTGTCTCATCTTTAGGTCTCTACTCCAACAGCTACAAAGACTTCAGGCTCTAGTGAGCGGGAAAGTGCCTCGGTCCTGCAAGATCGCTTCCACACAGACCGGAACATGCCTAATGGTATATATACACATTAACTGTACAAGCATGTGCATTTATTCCAACACGCTCATATTCACACACACATTTTCTTAGTGTTTCTTTCTAACAAACCAGTGTTATAAAGGAATAGTTCACCCGAAAATGAAAATTTGCTGAATATGTACCTCAGGCCATCCAAGATGTAGATGAGTTTGGTTCTTCATCAGAAGAGATTTGGAGAAATGTATCATTACATCACTTGCTCAGTGATGGATCGTCTGCAGTGAAAGAGTGCTGTCAGAATGAGAGTCCAAACAGCTGATAAAAGCATTACAATAATCCAAAACATGACTGCAGCCCATCAATTAACATCTTGTGAAACATGTTTGTAAGAAGCAAGACGTTCTTAACTTCAAACTGTTGCTTCCAGCTAAAATATGAGTCCTCTATCCATAATATTGCTTTCTCCAGGGAAAGCGTTGTCTCATTCTGAATCGGGAGAGAAATATGCACAGATCAAGTGTCATTTACAACGCCAAAACTCTTCTAAACAAATATGTTGGTGGATTTTGATGTAAGAGAACAACAGGGGAAGAACTTTTTCATTGGAAGAAGCTTGGTTTTGGTTGAACTATTCCTTTACTGAATTTAGTTTAGTCATTTAATCCTAAACATGTAAAGGCAGGTCAGAGCTGCTCTGTCAGCTGTAGTGCAAGTAGATTACAGTGGGGCGGTGTGCTCACCGTGTGTGTGGTTCCTCCTCCTGGCCAGGTGGTGGTGCTGTGTTTTGTGTTGGTGCTGGGCTCACTGGCTCCCTGCCTGCCCGAGCTCTCCCTCTACTCTTCCTCCTTATCCTCACCATCCTCACACACGGTGAAGTCTGCACCGCTGCCCTCAGGTGACCTCTACACCACCAGCCAGGGTATGTTTCATCCCTGCCCCTAATCTGTAAATTAAGATCATCAACTTTCATTGTGTACTTTGCATGATATGATTAAATTTCTCTGCACATGTGCAAAGAAGCATTTATTTGTAGGTCATCTGGCTTTCAGACACATTAAATTATCCAGTCAGCTAATAGCTGTGTGTCTTGGACAGCAGCACTTATTTCGTTCCCCCCATGTGAGACTGAAAGAGTGCCGTCTCTCTTCTAAAAGTTATTAGCGGTGCTCCTGGGCCGCCAGTGCCCATTCTCACCCTCAAATTACTGTCAAGACATCCCAGAGAGTTTTAGATTGAAATCATTACTTCCCTTTGAGCAGATTTTACAATCGTCTTTTAACTTTACAACACACACTGAGCCACATCTCCTTCTGCTCTATCAAAGCTGCACTTGAAAGGGGCTTCGATTGGATGAGGGCGATGAGGTTGCTGTAGTAACTGAAAATGCGTGTTTCGCCTAAGAGCATAGCTCACTCCAAATCTTTCTTTCTCCCTTAAACACTCCAAAAAACGCTTCTCTTCACTATACAAATCAAGTCAAAGTAAGCAAATCAAGCAAGGCATGTGACATGAGTAACTCTGTTCTCTGTGTGTGTAGTCCGCTCCCGCAGCCTGCTCTTCTATGACGAGGGTGCCCCAGTGGAGGACGGCCACAGGGGCGTGCTGAGCGTGGAGAGGATGGAGGGGGTGCCGCGACATGTACAGGACCTGAAAGATAAGACACGTGCCGGATCGTTCTGCTCTTGTGAGCAGGTATTTGAGCCAGGCCCAACCAGAGCCTGCAAGCTACAGCAACACATCCGCGGCCCCACTCCATCCCCCTGAACCACACTACCACTCAAGGTGAGACACACATTGACAGCGCTTTTCATTCGTTCCGGTTTAGTTTGTAGCATCTTAATTATTAAGGAGGATGCAGTGATATTAAAACTCTGGTGATATAGATAAGCTGATAGTTATTTTTGAGTTATGGCAGATAACTGATAAGTAGCTGGTGTTCAAATTTTACACTATTTTGTCTATATGCATTAAAAATAAACGCTTAAAAACTCAAATCAGATATTTTAAAGGCTACAAAAGAATTTAGGCATCATAACATTATAATGTACAGTATGAAAATTGGATATTAATTTTGAGATCTGCTAATAATGACATTTAAACAGTGTTATTTCATTTTTATAGTTTTAAAAGATTAACTAAACATGTTGGATGATGGAAAAAGTTTTTTATTGTACAGCTATCATTCGATAGTGAAAATTTAATATCGACTGATAACTGAGATGGTACAGATTTAAAGTACTGTTTAAAAGTTTGGGGTCAGTACGATTTTTTTGAAAGCAGGGACATTAAGTTGTTCAAAAGTGACAGTAAAGATTTTAACTTTTTTATCATTTAAATCTATTTTATTTTAATGCTGTTCTTTTGAACTTTCAGCGCAACTGTTTTCAACAAATGCAGCCTCGATGAGCATAAGAGACTTAAAAACATTTAAAAATCGTACCTACCCCACACTTTTGAATGCCAGTGCATTATTGTGAATAAATAGAAATAGTCTCTTTCTCTCTCAGAAAGCGGGATCCTGAGGGAGGAGCTGAATATTTCTAACCCCTCTGGGTCGAGCTGCCTCATCACACAGGCCTCCACTGACGTCCGATGATCCTGCACTACTTGGCCCTCGACCCTTGCTGTTACACATCCTGAGTGTCCTGACCCTACCCTAAAAAACCAACAAGCCTCATGACCACGATCCAACCCACTTGACATGCATTCCAGTGACATTCAGCCCCAGAACTGAGAAGAGAAATGTGCCCATCCATACACTGAAACTCCCCTTTACCAGCAAGCACTGAGTTTAAGGACTGAGAGAAAAGAGAGCATGTGGGCGGTTGTAGATGCTGCTCTGTTTTAGATGGATGTGAGCCTGCAGCTCTAAATTCTCTAAACACTTCACACACAGGGTGTGGGAGGGAAAGTACATGAGTGTTTGTTTTGATTTTCCTAAAAAGCCATGAAACTGTCCATTTACTACATATCCTTACTTCAACCCCAAATAATTTTTTTTTTTTTTTTATGATGACTTTTTTTAAAACTATGAATGTTTTCCAGCAGGTGTAATCACAGGTGCCTGACATAGTTTGCAGTTTTGCAAAGCTTGCTTTGACAGGATTTTCTTCCTCTGCCATCTTGGCTTGTTTTTCTCTAATAAGTTTAAGCTGGATTCCACTTGTTTTTCACTAGGAAAACAAATTGATTTAAGTGCCTTCACATTCTTTTTCACATAGTCATATGTGACCTGAACCACAAAACCAGCCATAAGGGTCCATTTTTCGAAATTGAGATGTATATATCAGCTGAATAAATAAGATATACATACAGCTGAATAAATAAGCTTTCCATTGATGTATGGTTTGTAAGGATAGGACAATATTTGACCGAGATACAACTATTTGAAAATCTGAAATCTAAGGGGGCAAAAAAATCTAAATATTGAGAAAATCGCCTTTAAAGTTGTCCAAATGAAGTTCTTAGCAATGCATATTACTGATCAAAAATTAAGTTTTAATATATTTACAGTAGGAAATTTACAAAATATCTTCATGGAACATGATCTTTACTTAATATCCTAATGATTTTTGGCATAAAAGAAAAATCTATAATTTTGACCCATACAATGTATTTTTGGCTATTGCTACAAATACACCCCAGCGACTTAAGACTGGTTTTGTGCTCCAGGGTCACATGTTTAAGATACTTGACTAATCGCATAGTTTCCTCTTAAACCTCGTTTACTTTGCTTACTTTTATTAATGCGTTTTATTTTTGTTTTCTACTTTTTAAAAGGCAGAGACTTTTGTACTGAATTAAAAGTTTATCCATAATATATTCTAGTATTTATAATCTAGTATAATATCCAGCATCCAAAAAAGAGCATATTTATTTTATGCACAAAAAATATGAAAGTTATTGTGTTTTTTTAAATGAAAGATGATGTACAGTTTACATGGTCTTGTTGTCATAACTGTTAAACAGTTTTGTTCTGTTATCTTTATTTCTGTGTAAAGAAAGTTTTGTATATATAGAGAAAAATGAACAGGGATGATCAAATCCTGTGCACGTCTAATCATGTTCAATTTCTGATGAATTCTGTACAATCCACATGAATCCATTAAAACATTGGCTATAATGGAAAAAAAAATGGAAATTCACAATTTAAGAAAAGTGAACCTCTTTAAAAATTAATGTTATTTAAACACATTTTTCTGATTATGGAATACTTCTTTTTAATGTTAGTTTAGACTGTCTATATTCTGGACATGAGCGAACTGTGTGACCACTGTAAAATTTCACCGCAAATATCTGGTAGTTGATAAAGCAGTTGTGTAAATATGCTTTACAAAAGTCTTTTTTTTTTTCTCTTAAAGTAGAGAATTGTTTTTATGTTATAGATGTCACTGTTTAGAAACAATTTGTTAATCATAAAATCCTTTTGTTTTGATTTTTATTTAGTTAAATCAATTTTCATGATGTCCTCTGATGCTTTAGCCGCGATATTATTTTTATTGTACAGCTAGAGATAACCACTGATATTTGAATGCTCAAGTTGTTGTTTTTTTGGCGCTGATTAAACTATAGTAATGAAAGTGGTTGTCACAAAGGAATTTGTCACTGTCAGTTTTTATAAATTACTCTGTGGTATCTGTGCCATAACACAATGTTTTTTGGCGCTGATTCTAGTAATGAAAAGTGGTTGTCACAAAGGAATTTGTCACTGTCAGTTTTTATAAATTACTCTGTGGTATCTGTGCCATAACACAATGAAAAAACTGTAGATAACATCCTATTGTCAGTGTAAATCTGAATTCACCATAGTATTTTTTATTTTTTTTACTGAATGTGTATTGGTTTTTAACAGGAATATTCACCTTAGTTTTAAAGAGCTTTAAGTTTAGTGACAGAGCAGTCCTCATCATGGCCTCTGTTACAATCGTCTCACCTCACCTCAATTATAGTGTAATAATAATAATTATAATGAACTGGAAAAACATTCATTGTTGATTTGTATATTTCTAAGACGATAAATGGAAACTTTATGACTTCATTGCACATTGTTCACAGAAAATTTGTCTCAAACCTGGAACCCCAGAATATCTGAGCGTTCTGGAATTGAATCGAATGCCCAGTCTGACGATGGAGTTTATGCTTTAAATGTAATTGTTGCTGGTATTACCTGTATCTCTGCCCTTTGTACATATGACTGATTATAAATGTTGGTTGTAAATATGGAGGACGTATTTTTATATTTCCAATGCATTTTGGTAATCACCACGCGGCTTGGGTTGATTTGTATCCATGTATGGATCTGGCTCTGGCTATGTATCTAAGCTCTGAACCTCTTTTCTGTCTTATCTAAAGTAGAGTTAGAATGAAGCAAAATACAAAATTTGCAGATGCAACCCAATGTCTCTTGTCTTATTTTCAGTTTTATACCATCTTTATCAGAATCGGAATGTCTTTATTGCTACTGTGGGTGTATACGTGTACAAGCAATTTGTCTTGATGTATAAATCATGTGGCACACAGCAGCTACAACAGCACTTATGCTTTAGGCTATTTTTTCCTTTTTATTCGAAACATCCCCAAACGCATTACCTATACCATGAAATAACTTGATTCTCACCTTTATAGATTATGTTGATCTATAGTGGGCGATGGAAGTAACCTAATAATGTAATCTATTAACTGGAATGTCTTTATTGCTACTGTGGGTGTATACGTGTACAAGCAATTTGTCTTGATGTATAAATCATGTGGCACACAGCAGCTACAACAGCACTTATGCTTTAGGCTATTTTTTCCTTTTTATTCGAAACATCCCCAAACGCATTACCTATACCATGAAATAACTTGATTCTCACCTTTATAGATTATGTTGATCTATAGTGGGCGATGGAAGTAACCTAATAATGTAATCTATTAACTATGCATAAAAACCTGTCTGTTTACTTAAGTAACAGATATGGATGTCATGCCATATTTTTAATAGGACTGAGTTTATATTTAATGTGAATTTCACATTGAAAGTTAATGTGAATAAAAACATTGCAAGTTAGGCTACTAATCATAACACTTTCATTGTACAGAAAGAGAGCAAAGAACATTTACATTATCAAAGAACATTTTCACTGACAGTCTAGTTCAAGCACTCTCAAAAACTCCCATTAAAATCACTGAAGCTGTTTACACTGTGGAATTTGTACAGTACACACATTTGCACTTTGTTGTTTCTGACGAGAGAATTCGCCAGAAAGAGCTATTTAGTCAGCGAGCGGCTGGTGTGATTGTTTTAAATATAGAAAATATTAATCGGCAATCTTTAGTCTTTTGGAAGCTGCATTCAAAATCCACTTGGCTCAAAAATCTGAGGGGGCACTTTGAATGGCCTCTGAATTCACCTAAAAGGTTGGGTGTCGAGTGATTTTTGCAGTATATATTTTTCGTTTTTCTTGTTTCACTGAGCTATGACAATATGAGCATATAAAAATATTTTATTTTTAATGTAGTTGCAATATATGTTTTGTATATTTTTGATATGTGAAAAGCAATATCTGTGAATTTCTGGCATACAGGCTGGTAGGCTACAGCACTAAAAACAAACAGTATCACATAGGCTACTGTGCTGCTGCTCAGCTAAACTGTACTATGTGTGAGTGGATGATATTATAAACAAGACTGAACAAATATCAGTTCAAACTGGTACATCAGGTGTAAAATGCATTCAGTAATGAACAGTAGTAAAGTGCCATTCGATGATGACTGTACTAAGAAAACGTCTGTTGCTTGTAAAATGTTGAGGTCAAAAAGAAACATCACAATAGTTTAAAAAAATTATTTAACAATATACATAAAAATGTGTTGAAACTCTTTACCAGACTGTAATTGATGTTTAGGTTTGAGGCATTAAACAATGTCAGAATGATTGTGCAGGACTGAGTGTTGCTGTATATAAATTGGATTCATTCAGTGGCCCCTAGTATATTTCAAAATGTCTAGCATTGCTGCAATTTAAAAGATTACAACATTCAATTTTCAAATATACAGCATGAGCCACCTATGATTATTTCTACATTTTAATGCAGTTCCCGCAGATCTATGTTATGTGGAGAAAATTTGCTCTGTGGTTTCTGGACATTTTGCAGTGTGGTTTCCATATTGATTCATCCTACTTGATGACTTCAGGCCTCATCCAGAAATCTGACCCCACAAAACTCTCCAACTGTCCAGCAGCACACAATCTTGCATACAGAATTCATTCTGACATAATATTATCAACAAAACAATGACAAAACCGCAAGTCACTCATTTTGTATGTGTGGTTAAATTGGGCTCCATCTTGTTAATGAGATTTCCTGATAGATGAAGGTTATGTCTTTTCTATGATCTTATAACATCAGCCATTTTGTGCTATAAAGGTACTTATTGTAAGAACACTTTAAACACTTCTCACAGAGTTAATGCTTCAGACCCAAAGATAAATAAAACCCAAAGAGAGAGAGAGAGAGAGATGGAGGACAAATAAATGGAGAGAGATGAGGAGGAGAAAAATAACATAGGCTGTGTTCTGCCCACACAAATATCCATAGTTCCCCACACCAGTATGCAGTCGATTCTCTAAGGAGAAACTGGGACCTTGTGCTATGAGCTTGTTTAGAAAAGTGTTCCTATTAAATTAATAATTTAAAATATTCTCACTGCCTCTATTGCAATAAACTGAACTTTCCATAAAATTCGATCAACACCAAAAAATAAATACATAATAAAATAAAAATAAATAAATAAATAACAATAGTACTAATAATAAAATAATAATAATAATTCACTATTTGGACCCATTCAAGGCAAGAAAATAAATAAATAATCTCATTCAATTGTCTCCATGTTTGCACAAATTGCTTACTCACTGACTACAAATTTTCAGAGGGAACACAACATTGCAGAGGTGTGTGGAATTACAGTAGGAGGTTGCAATGGCTGTTAGATCATCAGTGGTTTGAACTAGAGACAAAAATATTTGCGCTCTAGCATTTGCATACACAGAAGCTTTAATG